GCTGGCTCTGTCTTGTTGGTTGACGCCGTGTTTCTGCAAAAGGTCCTTCCCACCTGCTGGCTCTGTCTTGTTGGTTGACGCCGTGTTTCTGCAAAAGGTCCTTCCCACCTGCTGGCTCTGTCTTGTTGGTTGACGCCGTGTTTCTACAAAAGGTCCTTCCCACCTGCCGGCTCTGTCTTGATTGGTTTATGCCGTGTTTCTGCAAAAGGTCCTTCCCACCTGCTGGCTCTGTCTTGTTGGTTGACGCCGTGTTTCTACAAAAGGTCCTTCCCACCTGCCGGCTCTGTCTTGTTGGTTGACGCCGTGTTTCTACAAAAGGTCCTTCCCACCTGCTGGCTCTACTTGACTTACTTGACTTAAGTCTTTAGCGTCAATACGGCATCGCCAATCCCTTCGCTGTAGAGTCGCATGCATCCCGAATCAACGGGATCCATGATTCTAGGCTGAGTACTACTTGAGCTCGCCGGGCCCAAGAGTCGACAGAGCCCCTTCTGTTGGAAAATGGTGGGCACCTCGAGAAGGCAGGGGTTGTCTTGATAATGAGAGGCTATATTTTGCGCGTCAATTATCCTTGCCCACCGATTATCCTTGCCCACCAATGTGTGTTTAGAAGTGTGGTGGGTTCCTTTTTGTTCAAATACATGCTGAACTCCTAAATGAAGAGCAATATCTATTTATTACATTTGAAATTGTTAGAATTCTCCGAGGTTCATATGAAATGCTCTTTTTTCCTTCAGGGAACCCTTGCAAATGACAAGAATGAGATTTTGTTTTCTGAATTCAATATTAACTACAACAAAGAACCTGAAATATATAGGAAAGGAACTGTTTTAATATGGAAGAAGGTAAGTCATACTCTTGTTTGTCTTTAAAATGACACCAAAGCATATTTTAAGTAAGTAATTATACAAAATATTTTAAGATAATAAAGTGATTTTTTTACAAGGCCCATCTGTGCTGAATTACCAAAGACATCTGTCGCATCAGTTGATTATGCTTTTGCATGATGAAGTTACTGAAGGAATTATTCCTATACTAGACGACTAGAAGTGTTGTTTTCATCATCAGCCATTCAGTTGTGCCCGACCACGGACACTCTAGGATTAGCACTGTCCATGTTCCTCTGTCTTGCACTGCTCCTTTAGATCCTCCATGGTCATCCCGGTGACATCCATTATATGCCCAGTCAGTCGGTACTGGGGACCAGAAGCAAAATAGTGATAATTGTGGTTTGAAGTTTAGTTAAAGCTGGATCCTCACATATTAACTAACCCTGCTATTGAAGGTGGAAAAGTTTTTGGCTTATGAAGTCTCTATCCAGATTATCCGTCTATACATAAAATCAAATCATGTTCTTATCTCTACTGCTGAGTCCTTTCAGAAAAAAAATCCTAAAGTAGAATATTGTATTAAATTTAATCTAGCCAAAATATTAGGCATTGCATTTTATAAATATCACTTTAGTGTTCAGCGAAATAAAGTTGAAAAAAAGAGGCAGATTTTATTGAATGTAGTAGTACTGAACATTTACACTGGCATACCTATCATTATGCTGTTCATATTTTGTGACATTATACTGATTTTATTACATTTATTTGCCACCCATCTCTTACACTGACTTTGGGCAGCTTACAGAATTATAAAAAAATAAAAAAGACAATATGAAATTATTAAGATTAAATAAGAAACAAAAAATCAAGGTGACAGGTGACATGGGGGTAGAAATATTTTACTTACCCAGTTGGTCACCTCACCATAGGGCACTCCTATTAATGCCCCAGGCCAGCTAGCAGAGCCAGGTTTTGAGGCTTTTCTGGAAGACTAGGAATGTAGGGACCAATCTCGCCTCCACTGGGAGAATATTCCAAAAGGCAGGGATCACAAAGAAAAGGCTCTTTTCCTAGAACCAACCAACTGAAATTCTTTGGCAGATGAGATCTGGAATATGACTACTGCTGGAGTAAGTGGGATTAGCCTGTCTCATTGGGATCAACGACTCCTCAGATACTCGACCCGGGGTTTAAAAGTAATGACCAACATCCTGAATTAGACCAGGAACTGATGTTGGCTGTGCTCTCAGTACTATTCCCAAGTTATTTTTTCATTATTATATTTTATATCTTTTCAACACTTTAAGTATTCTATTGATAACATGCCACCTTATTTCAGCTTTCCTTCTTTAGCTCGCTTTTTGGTCATGAAAGACCACTATTTAGAGACATCTTCCTATGTATTGCCAATGTAACAAACAAAGCTTGAGTGCTTTTAGATGTTTGTATTTATACTTGAACTTTTTGTGTATCATCTACCATTATTTCCATACTGTATTTATTTAGTTGTTCACCCAGGGCTTTGACAAAGGAAAGTGAGATCCATCACTTCACCATGCTTCCCGTTTTTCATCTTTTTAAAAAAATGTGTTCTATTGTACAGACAGTTCTTGACTTACAACCATAGTTGTTACCAGAATCTCAGTTTTAAGCAAAGTGATTGTTAAATGAGATGCCCATGTGAATGCTTTGCTCAATGACCATAATCCCAGTACTCATGGTTGTGGTCATTAAGCGATCCCTGGGTCATTAAGCCGAGTGAGATTGCTGTGTGGAAGAGAACTGCTCTGATGGGTGCAGAAATGAGGCTCACAACTTTGGGATCTGACTTCCTTTTCTGAAGCTCTTCAGAAGACTACCCCTCCCCTCTGCATGGAGAGGAATGCCTTCAAAGGGCTACTGAAACAGCTCACACGGAATCTGACTTCCATTTCTGCACCCCTTTTGAGGAGTTGCCTTCGCTTCCATACTGAAGAGGATAGGGAAAGTTCCAAGTATCTATTTGTCTTCAATCAGATCTTCCTATTGACATATCATACAGGTAGTCCTTGACTTGTGACCAGTTAAACCCACAATTTCTGCTGCTAAGTGAGACAGTTGTTAAGTGAAATTTGCCCCATTTTATGACCTTTCTTGCCACAGTTGTTAAGTAAATGACAGCAGTTAATAACAGTTGTTAAGTGAATCTGGCTTCCCCATTGACTTTGCTTGTCAGAAGATGGCAAAAGATGACGCCAGGACACTGTAACCATCATAAATCTGTCAGTTGCCAAGCATCTGAATTTTGATCACGTGACCATGGGGATGCAAGTAAGTGAAAAAAGGTCATAAGTCACTTTTTTCAGTTCCATTGTAACTTTGAACAATCATTAAATGAACGGTTGTAAGTCAAGGACTATTTGTAAAATATGATTCAGGAAAATGACATGAACAGCTCCAATTACAGATAACCCTCAACTTATGTCCACTTGTTCAGCAAGCATTCAGTTATTGCAGTGCTGAAAATATGGACGTACAACCAGTCCCTGAAATGTCATCTATTGGAATACCCCCATGTCATATGATTATGACCGAGGAAGCTACAATCATGATTGCCATTTGTGACTTTTCCTGCTAGTTTCCAACAAGCAAAGACAACGGGGAATCTGGCAGGAAAGGTCAGGGAAGGTCACACAGTCTCTGGCACCTCTCCCAGGCACTTCTCTGACTTGTGTGGCCTGCACTGGGTCTCCCAAACCCTTCCCCGACTCATATGTGGCCTGTGCTGGGCTTCTCAGATCCTCCTATAAACCTGACTCCCAAACTCCCACCGCTTAATAACCCATGCATCTGCCCTCACTAAGTGATGCAGTCAAATGACATCATGCTTTACAATTTTACAATTACTATTTTACAAGTGCTATTGCTATTAGCCATAGCTTATCTGGCCTCTTGTGAAAGATGGAAATTCAATTATGGAACATCTTATAGGACATTGATTCCCCAGCCCTGCATAAGAATCTGAATACTGTGTGTATAGGAATTAGATCTTGATCTAATTAAGTATACAAATCAGCAAACTATAGTACGAAGTCATGGTAGGGTTTTTTGCATTCCCCCAAGGCCCAAGCCAAAAGCAAGCAAACTTATTTTAAGTCTCCATGAAAGCCAAGCAATATTATTTCTTCCCCCCCCCCGCCCTATATTCTGCAGCCAGGCGCTATAAGGTGAAAATATAATAACACTCAGCATCCTCCACATTCAAGATGCTGATTCTTTTATTTTCATAGAAATTAATTCATTAGAACATGTTAAAGTTTTCTGAAGATTAAACACATTTTAATTTCCTTTTGCTACTATTGAAAATTATGTCATTAATGATTTGATGCCAGATTTGGGCAGTGTGGTTTAGGGAGTGAGGCAATTCCTTGAAGACTGCAAGAGAAGGTTGGGGTGGGAGGGGATGCTACCTATACCTGTTCCTAACTTAGCATTATGCATCAGTTTAGCCACTGCATGTCAAAAACATGTTGAAAAAGTCATTCTCTTCTGGATTAAGTAGAATGAAGATGCTTTGAACATGAAGTCTGCCATTTTACAGTGATAGTCCATTTACATAAAAGGGATGTTTCACTTCAATACATTAAACACTACAACTCTAAAAGAATTAAATTCTGAATCGATTTTAAAAAGTTCAATTATTAATATATTGTTTGTATTTCTATTCCTAGGTAGATGAGATCATTAAGAAAAAAATTACAACAGGGGAAACAGAAGAGAAGGAAATTGAACAAACCAGGATGAGAAACAGACCAATTCCTTTGCATTGTGATATTATTGGAAATGAATTTTGGGAACACAATCCTGAAATCTTGCTTGACAAGAGGTGACCTTTCCTATCTGCATTTTAGTCTGAACCTATTGGGTATAATTTATTTTACAAGGACTGCATCATGGTGGGGAAAAATGTAATCCTGTGTTTTGTAATAGCCATTTTACTTGAATGAATGAATAAAACTCCAGGTATTGTTCATAAATCAATACTTTATTAAAATTACGAGTAAGCTGATAATAATCTTAAACTTTACACTGGAAAAGGCATGCCTTTAATTTCTTCTCTGGCCCTCAAAAGAACTCTACTGCTGTAGGTCTCATGAGATGCTAAGTTGCCCATTTAAAACTCTGAAAACATTTAAACTACTCCTTCAAATTAAATTCTATCATCAGGGAGCCAAGTTACAAATTATCCTAGTTGCTAATGTCTCTGGATTATATGAGTGATAAACAAAATACCCTGGCAAGTAGCAGAAAGTAATTAGGAAGTTTTCTCTCAAGTGTAAATTAGTTCCGGCCTTTTTGAAAGCTATGGAAACATAATTTCCCTCTGTAATCGAACATTTATTATTTGGACTCTCTCCTTGCTGCTTTTCGGATTATTAGACAAGGTCTCAGGTGGCCAACCAAGAGCAATAATGTTATTGTATAAGGGAGATAGCACAGCAGGGTGTGTTTGTAGGTCATGCTCTCATTTTGCTGCTGCCTGGGAAACTATCCAGTTCCTGCTGTTGAGAATTGTGGCAACCAACTTACTGAAAGTCTTGTATTGGGATGTGAAGTTCAAAGAGTTGTGTTACTCTTCTGCCTTTTCAAAGGCCCAGCTGCCCAGGAGCGAAAAAGATAGAGGTATTGGGAACAAATGTGAGATTTGTGTAAAAATCGGCCTGGCTTCTCTGGTGGCTAGGTTTTATATAGAACTTTTTAAGGGGATTCTTAATTGTTTGTTAATTTGCTCTAATAGGAAATAATTTAGAATAATAGATATTTAGCATCATTTTAAAGCCATTTGAAAAAAAAATTTTTTTTAACTATAGTTAAGATAATGTTAAAAGGGTTAAAAGAAACTGGAGCAATGTGCATTCCAAAAATGGTGTGCTCAGCAATCCACAATACTTGTAGCGAGGATAGCAGGAATAATAGGCAAAGTATTGATAAAAGGAGGATTTTTGTATTCCTACTTTCCATAAAGTGCTCCAAGTTATTAGCAGCAACAATAAAAAAGCAGCTGTGTTTTCATAACACACTCAAGCAAAAACAAGCTGGCTACTTTTAGCCTAGTGACTGTATGAACCAATTACTATTAGAAATTTAGAAAAAAAAATAGAAAAATTTAGAAAATAAATTAATTAATTAATTTAAAATTAATCCGCCACTTTCTATAATTCAAAACAGAACTCTGCTGGATTTACAAACAAGTTATTTTAATCAAATTTTTCAGGATCCAATCTGGGTCAATCACTGGGACCAGAGGCTTTGCCTTCGGAGCTTTCAAACTCATGCTAGAGCCCATCTTCAGGGAACTTCTCTGTAGCAAAGTGTGTCATATTTTGTTACACCAGCCATACTAAGAATCAGAAGATTGAATATACTTGGTTCACTATCTATTTTAAAGTAATCAACATATAAGATATAAGCAGAAAATGAAGCACATTATAGATTTTACAGACGTAAATAAAAAATCCTAATTTCAAATGGTCTATTCCCTTGTGTTCATCCCTCATAATTCACCTTGCAGATGTTAATAGTTAGCCAAAACAATTATGAGGTAGAGTGGGGAAGGGGATCCTAGGCACAAGATATTCCTTGGTGCCTACTAATCAAGGCTGCTTTCTCCTCCCTATTTCTGTCAGACCAGGCTAAAACTTTTACTGTATGATCTTATGGGTGGTTATTTTCTAGAATTTGGATTTGATTGAGATAAGTTTCTATAGAAATTGAATAAATATTTCTAAAAGATCATTCTTCCTTGCTTATTTAATATTCACACTCTTGCACAATCACTTTCTTGTTAACAGCTGAATGGATCACTTTGGACCTAACCTCTGAAAGTTGTAAGAATCAGTGTATCATATTATGTTTAGTAAATCTGGCCTTGCGTCTCCACTATTTTGGTTCTTCCTGGATAGTTCAAATAGTCCTTAAGGCGTCCTTATTGCTGTCAGCAAATCGCCTTCTTTTCTAAATGGGCTAAAAATAACTTTTAATAAATGTTTAGCACTGTAACTCTGTGAAAACTATCTACTGGCCTTTACTAATACATACATGCAAATGATTTATACAAGATGAGTGGCATATTATCATACAGTGCCTGAAACAAGAAGCAAACTGGGAAAACAAATGTTTAATACTTGCTATTTTAATTGCTGCAAATGTTTAATACTTGCTATTTTAATTGCTGCATTTAAAGAGACCCTTGCACTTAGAGACTCTTGTCCAGCTCAACTACTACTCACTATCCATGTAGTTGTTTAACAGCATTACCAAATGCTTAGCATTTCTGCCATCCACCCCACCCCACCCCACCCCACCCCAAACTACCTGCATATCAAACGATCCGGAAAACTATTAGATGGCAGCAAAGAACCTTAGAAAACTGGCATCTAGTGGCCATTTGGTGCAATGCAGCCCTGACATGACCGCTCAATACCTTAGCCAAGCACTAACCAGGCCAGACTCCACTTCGCATCCAAAAAGCATAGCTTGATAATCCTTGATTGTTCCTCTGCACCCGGTGCTCAGCAGAGGTTATTATAGCATGGTTTACAGTAGCCCTCATTTATTTCTACTATGATTGAGTGAATAAACCCAATGGCCGGACTCACAAAAGACGAACTCAAACGCAAACTAGCCACGATTTGAACCTTTCCCAGCCGGAGCGGCCAAGTGTGGACCGGTCTGCGGCTCCAGGAAGGGAATGCAAAGAGCGCAGTTCTAACATCTTGAGAACCGAGAGTTCCGCAATCTCTTCCTCAGATGAGTGAAGGTGGATAATGGTCCTCCTTCCAGCCGGCCGAGCCAAAACCAGAGGCGGCCTTGCCGGACGGCCATTTCGGCGGGCGGGCGGGCAGCAACGCAATTCTCGCCTGCCTGCCGAGAGAGCATCAAGAGGCGGCGGGAAGGGACCTGCCGTGCAATCGCGGGGCTGGGGCGGCCCATAGCGGCGAAGGAGCGCGCTGCGGGCGGCTCTTCCTGCTCCTCCCAGCAGGGCCGGGGCCAGGGCAAGAGCGGGAGAGACATGGAGGAGGAGGCGGCGGAGAAGGCCGGGGCTGAGCCCAGGCGGCGGAGCCGGCGCCACTCAAGCGGGCGTCGCAGCTCGGAGCGATCCCCGAGTCCCGGCCGGCTGGACGTGAGCTCGCCGCGCTTCGACCCGCTGCTGGCGCTGTACTCGGAGCGCACCCCGTTGCCTTACCCGGCCGCGCCCTGCTTCAACAACCTGGCCGAGTACGAGAGCTTTCAGCGCGGCCTGCTCCGCGCCCCGGGTCGCTCGAGAACAGCCGCCGGCCGCAGCAGCCGCTCCGCCGGGACGCGTACTCGGAGCCGGGCCGGCCGGCCC